TCGCCCACCCGGGCGGCCGCGACCTCAATCTCGCGCAGCATAAGACGGCGATGACATAAACATCCACCGAGTGGGCCGGGCGAGTTATGTCGAAGGGCTCGGCGTCGGCGAAGGCGACCAGCGGCACCAGGGCGTCCACGGGGAATGCCTCCTTCAGGCGCGAACCTGGGAGGCCCCGAACCACGGACCGGATGATCCGATTGGCCAGGCGCCGCAGGAGCGGGTCGACGACGATGCGAAGCTCGTGCTCCTGGTACTTGAAGGCGGCGAGAAAGTACTCCTTGGCGCTGCGGTAGGCGCCCTTCTTGAAGCCCGCCCCGATGACCTCGAGGACGTGCGCCGAGATAGGCCAAGGGGCGACCTCGCCCTCGTAGGCGAGCCTGTTCCAAGTTTTGAGGCGTGACTCGTATGGCCCCCGCGTCGTCTTGGCCAACATGTCGCCCCGGAGCTCGGCGATGGCCCTCTTGACGTTGGCCGGGCGAACAGCCTCAACTGCGGCCGCCAGGGACGCCCGGGCCTCCGTCCTCCGAGCCGGCAGGTCCGGTCTGTCGGGGCCGGCCACCACCAAGGCCAGAGCCGACACCGCCCAGGCGGCGGAGGGGCAGCCAGGATGGCCTCGAGGGCCTCGAACGGCAGGCCGGCCACCACCAAGTCGTCGTGGCCACGAGTCAGACCCTGGATGTTCCGCACCCCGGCGCGAGCCAGGAGCGGCAAGTGCTCTTTCGGCGAAAGCCATCATGCTTGAGCCCTCGAGCCGTACAACCCCAAGCAACCAACCCGTGCAAGGGGGAAGGGGGGCAGGGCAGAGCACCGAGGCGAGCAGCAGGACCTCTCTTTTTCCAAAAACCAGGCGCCCGGCGTCAGGATCTAAGCCCGCAAAAGGGCGAGAGGCGCTATAACGCTCCGGCCGGCAGGCGTCGCACTCGTGATTCTCGTGCGGGCGCCCGCCCACTGGCGGATAGCACACCGGTCGCAGGCAGCGGGCGCGGTGCGGACAGCGGCCGAGGTGGCCAGACCTCGGGCCGGGGCACCCCACGAAGCACCAGCCTACCCAGTCGAGGTTGTGGCTGTCCGGGCGTCGTGGCAGGCGACCGCCCCTGACGTGCCCCGGCAAGGCGCGGAGGACGGCGACACCGACTGCGGCTCTCAGGGTTCACTGCCCCGGCGCCAATCGCCTGCTCCAGGGCGACAGCCGCCTCCCAAGAATTGGCCCCAGCTGCGGAGGGACGGCGGCAGAGGCGTAGTGGCCATAGACGCGCCTGGCTCGTGCAGCGGGAAGCGAAACTCATCCCAAGCTGCCTGGCGGGGGTGTCTGTGGGACCGCTGCTCCCGATTCCGGCTGCCGAAGCCGTGGCGCCCTCGACCGGCCATCTCTAGCGGCGGGAAGGACGACTTGGGCGGAGGTGGCGCCGTAGACGAAGAGGAAGCCGCCCCCTGGACCGTCCCGGCGGCCTCTGCACGGAGATAGGCCTGCCACGGCGACTCAATGGGGCGACCGGACGCCGGGCGGATGAGTATCCTCAACCACCACCGCCCCGGCGAGGTGCCGGATGGGCCTCTTTTGGTGGGGGTCCTGACGCCCTGTCCGCCTGTGTGGCCTGGCGCTCGGCTGCCGTAGGCTGCTGGGCCGGCGGTGGGCCCATGGCGCGCTGTTCTGCCAGCTCCCGCTCTATGCTGGCGGCCAGGGCGGTGTCGTAGTCCGCGTCTTGGGGCAGCTGGCGGAGCCCCGCCCGGCTCCTGACGGCCTGCTCTTGCCGGATAAAGGCCTCCCGCCGAAGGTGCTCCTGGCGGTGGGCGTCTGGCTCCTGCCCCTGGAGCTCAGGCGGAGCAGCCTTCTTCGGCCTGGCTGCCGGCGGCGCAGGTCCAGAGGAAGTCGCCGTAGCCGACGGAGGCGTTGTAGAAGCGCCTGGCGCCTCCTGCTCCAACACCGGCGGCGCCTTCAGGACGGCCTTTGCAGTGGAGCTGCTGGCGGCCGCAGGCGTAGGGGCCATCTGCGCCGCCATGTTCAAAGGCCCTGCTGGGGAATTCCGCCGGCCTCGGCGGGAAGGGCACTGGCGGTGGCTTGGCCGGCGAGCCGAAGATCGGCGCTGGCGGCTCAGTCGTGTCCGGCTCAAGAAATGGCGGCGGAGGGGCCTTAGCCGCAGCCTTAGGCTTGGCCGCCGTCAGGACCGGGGAGGTCGCCAAAGGGCCCGGCCCGTCACCGGCCGCGGTGTCCTGGTCAGGCGTGGCCTCCGCCTTCGGCCATAGCCGCCCTCAGGTTGGAGGCGTCCTCGGGCGAGAGCGCCCTGATGGCGGCCGCCAAGCCAATGACGGAGAGGCCCGCCACAAACGACCGAATGAAGTGGGCCTCATAGGTCTGAGTGCCCCGGTCGTGGCCTCCCGCCGAGAGGGGAGGGCCAGACGGGACCGGACTGTCGTCGAGCTCCAAGCCCAGCAAGTCGACGAAGTCGGAGCCCTGACCCCCCGGCGCCAGAGCCTCAGGGGGCAAGACGCCCATGGTGCCGGGCGCCCCGAGAGGCGTGGGCTCAAGCCCGTCCAGGCTGTCCAGATCCAAGCCACCAGGCGCCGACGTAGTAGGCGCCGAGGTCGGGCCGAAGTCCAGACCCACGCCAGGCGAGGCCCCGGAGCCGTCCGCCCCGACAGGCGACGCAGGGGCGGCGGCGGCCTCCAGCACTGGCGTGAGTCGGGAAGAAGACATGACCCGACGAGAGGCGGCAGGGAAAGACAGCTGAGAACAAAGTGACGGGCGAGCCGAAATTGCTTTTCGGCCGCCCGCTTGCGCTTGTTCCTACACACACACACACGTGTGTTACACAACAAAACTCAGCAAACGGCAATAGACTTACTAGATTCTAGATGCACTTCCTGCGCGGCCTGACGCTGGTGTCTGATGGTTGCACGGCGCCCCACTGTTCAGGAATGATGACTTTACAAGGTCCGCTTGCTGGACTTGGTTTGCGCTTTACGGGCCGCCCTCGTGCACAAAGAACTGTTTGTTTGCAAGGACAGGATCTGGCGGGACACCTCCTTGACGTCGTCCTTCGGCTCGAAGGTGCTGTCTTCCTACAGATCTTCACAACCCGTGCGACGACCATCGACCCGGCTCTGTTGCTGGAAGCAAATGCTGCCCGGCTGCCAAAGCAAAGGAGCCCGCTATCACTCTGAATGACTCGCCAAAATGCGCCTGAGGGCTGACTCACAGCTCATGGATTCGACTCGAGTCTCTCCGAGTCACCTCTGCGAGAAGGCCACGACGGCTCACGAAGCGTAGTCTCCTGAGTGCTCGCATCGCACAACTCGCCCAGGCAGAGCCACGCTAAGCCGCACTCCTCGACCCGTGGAAAGCCCGTTCCGAGGGCGGGAGGTGACCTTGTCTGTGCCGTTCGGCTTGTGCGCCGAAGCAACTGCCATGTGAAGTGTTTCGCACGCAGGGCTGATCCCTGACTAAGTGTTGTTCAAGATGTTGCGGGCATTTGGTTCAGTATCTTCAGTGGCTCGTGCCTCTTCCACGGTTTTTAAGGCAACGTGAACGTTCTCGACAGCAAACGTGTCTGCATGCTGTGGATGAGCATACAAATTGGCGTTCGATGCGGGGAGTGACGACCGAATCGAAGCTCATGCACTGACTGATGACTGATGCCGCTGTCTTAGGTCAACTCTGCTCAACTTGCCTGAATAAGTTAGGTATGCTGCCTTTTCTGTGCAAGCAATGTGAAGGAACTGTCACTCCTCAGGTTTTACTAACAAATCCTCACGTTTGCCACTTCTGTTCTGGGGAGCTGTGCAGCAGTGCATCGGGAAAGCCGCCCTACCAAAAGGATGATGAGAACATCAGGGAACCGCAAGCGGAAAAAGGGCAGATTTTGCTGGCTTTCTTGGATACAATGGCTTGGTGAGAAGAATGGACTCTCGTCTGTGCAAGTTGCACCTTCGCATCGCTTGAGTTTTCCATGCTGCCAGTGAGCGGGTTGAAGATTTTTTAACTTGATTAGCTACGGGGGAGTGCATGCATACTGTAGCAGACACATGCTGGACCCCCTGGGAGTTCTCATACTTGTCGTCTAATAACATTACCGGTGGGTTTTCACGAGCGTTTTAGCATGGTTCGACTCCTTAACGTACTTGGCTCAAGCACATGCAGAAAGGGCACTGCACGGTTCCCTCCATCCTGCAGGGTTCTGTATTGCTTGTGTCTACTTGACAACTTGAGTAGCTGTTGGGTAATGTCGGCTGTGGTTGAAGACCTAACATGAAACTTGAAAAGACAGCCCGGTAACTTCGTCTGTACTGTCACAGTACTTGTCTGCGCTGATGTTGTCTTGCCCAAGTCGTGTTTTACTCTCCGTTTGCATCTCATGGGTATCGAAGCCGCACAAGTTTCCAGAGGCAAGCACGCCTTGCTTGTCCCGACTGAGCTAAGATCTCGACCTTGGCCTGGGTCATCTAAGCCGGCGGAGTCGTCATTAGCACCTGGCTATTGGGCTTTCTTCGCTTCGGCAGGCATTTTGCAAATGCAAGCCTTCATCACCAACGGAATCAGCAGACCATATACCATCCTGCGACGATGGTGAAACTTGGTCTACAGTTTCCCTCTTGTTGATCGGCAAAACCACTGATATGTGGTCAGACCAGTCTACCAAGACAGGACTATACAGGAATTGCATGAGGAGAGCATTGCCGTTTCGACATTCCAGACGTTCAAGCGCCTCGCACGCTACGAGGCTGACTCGACAAGCCGGACTGACAGGTTTTGAGGTTTCGGGGTCGAACTGGCACCGTCCCTTCACGTGATTTTTCGTGTGTGCCCAACATCTGTGCGAGTCTTCCCGTCCAGATACCTGTGCGCTAGCGGGCTGATAATGGGTCGTCAACCGGTGGGCGACTGTGCTGAACTTGAGGAAGCCCAAAACAAGAGTGCTCGATTCTAGGTGGCAGCAGTTAGGCGGCTTGAGAAAGCAGCTAAGTTTGGACGCACCCTATACTGCTGTCGGTGCGCAGGCTCCTCGACCCAAATGCCCGCGAACATGGCGAGGTCTTGAGGCCGAGCTTTGGGCTGCGCGATGGCGAGGCTGCTCAGGCCGGCCTTGGCGAGGCTTTCACGTGTGACCCTGCTCTGCTCTGACTCTCTCTGACTTCACCAAAAAGCGTCGGGCAGCCGCCAAGACCGAGGCCGATGGTCCAGGATACACCTTTTCGAACGCATTTTCTGACTGCAAAGCTTCACCAGCCTCCTTGCCTCCGTCACTGGGCGCACGCCATGCCCGTCTCGCACCAGGGCTTCCGCAACAGCAAGCTTGGCCGAAGAGTAACAGATAAGGTACCTCCAGGCACCAGCACCCGGTGTGCTCACGTTTTTGACAAGTGGATCTTCAGCAGAGTCACAATGCTAGCGGATCGACACAGGCTATTTCCAGCACTTGAAGGTTTGCAGCGAGTAGCTGCTTGCACCTGACCAGATGAGCAAACTCTGATGGTAAAGCATTCCGTTGCTTCACATCCCAGAGCTGAGCGCCGGGACACATGGCTGACTTGGATCTTGCTCGGCTGACCCAGAGCGCGCAAAGCACAAAAGACCTGCCCAGCAGATGCACTGGAATTACAAATAAGGAGAGTCCTGACCATTTCTTGCAGTAAGTTAAGTGAACAAATTCGAGTCCGAGGGCGACTTTTGCGATGCAGAAAAGCTTGCAGAATCAGGCAAACGCAACCAAACTGGGGAAAGGTCACCTCCAGGTGAGATGTTTTGTTTTTGTCTCCTGGATCCACTTGCGAAGCAACGTAAACGGCCTTCATGATGTACTCTCCATGCTACCAGCCCAGAGTTGTCTCTTCAGTTCTTAAGTGCAAACTTCTCATCTCCAATCAATGGAACGTCGAAGCTCCGCACGGGCAACCATGAGCTCTACATCAAATGTCTCCCTGTGCAAGACTGTCGGGTTTACGTCTGTTCCCACCGGCCTGCGAGTCCGAAGCTCCTTAGATTCCAAGCACCCATTTGGTGTCCCCTGCTTCGTGATCTTACATCGGCACGCTGCAGCCACGTGTGTAACAGTAGGCTGAATAAGAACCAGCAGCGTGCGTCTTCTGCACCGGGCTGCCCGTGCTCCTGACCGTGCATGAAAACGACCACTCCCAGTATGCAGGACTGCAGGACCCTGCCCACCTCCGAGCCAGATGCCTGAAGGAATGCCGTTTAGGACACTGCCATGCATGCGTCCCTCGGCCTCGTTCTCGGAGCTGGCTGCGCCTATGGCGAGAGATAGGTTTTCCCTTTGCACTCCTAAACTCATCCAAACAGCTTCGGGGTGCCGTCAGATCGGTCTGCTCTGTCAGACGGCCTCGTTGGAAATGGGGAACGGAAGAGGCAAACGTTGTTCTTGCAAGCTGAGGCTTCAACCATGTCCCATCTGATGGCGGGTCGAGCGCGCAGCCCTCACTGGAGAGTTCTTCCAGATTGTAACAGACTACTGAAGTGCCTGTTAGAGAGTTTCATGAATTGATGCTGCTGTAAGTGGCTCGTGTTATTGCGAATCCTGCACAGTAGACTGCGATTACCAGGACGCTGCTGAGTGCCTGTAGTACAACAACAAAGGAAGGTTCTGATGCCATAGCGACGATGAACACCAGAGGCAAGAGCAAGATACTAGGACTAAATCCGGTGCATGTCCAGGGCAAGCCTCGTCCGTGTACGTAATCTCCGCAAGCCCCGTGGCATGGCAGCGCAGGGCCTTCGGCGCACGACATTTCTCCATGTCTCGAATTCTTGAGATGCCTTCTCCCTTCTTGCTTTGAGCCCAGTAAATCCTGCTCACTACGTACGGATTCCCCAGGCGCCGATCAGCTTGCGCATTTGCTGTGCGTGGAAAAGCCGAAACTGGCGATGTCTCAGAAGCTCGCTGCACCAAGGCGACGTCGGATCTCTCGAGACCTGCCCCGTCAAGTTAGGTCATGTCACACTGCAAACTGCAAGCTGAACATCGCACCGTGCCGATGCTGATAGCCGCATGAACATGCCTGAACCTTAACGAACTTTAGCAGCAGTGCAAAGACAGCTTGACCGTGTGGGTGAGGCTTTGTTGATGCTCCCATGAGGACTGCTCGCTTGTGCTTTGCAGCTTGAGATCTGATACCTGGTGGGCTCGCGCTTGGGCTCGCTGGCAGCTGACAGGTGACACTCCGTTCCTGCACGTGCTGAAGAGCTTCTAAGGGCAAATGCCTGGGAGCTTGAGATGCTCAAAGGGCAAAGGCGAGAACTCGATTCAGGTCAAAGAGTGAAGGAGCTTGTTGGAATGAGGGACGGCTCTGGCTGCCCGCTCCCGATCGCATCACTGTCCCATCGTCCGATCGCAGGGTCTCGCGTGCGCGAAGCTTAAAAGCCGGCCTCAGAGCTTTCAAGTGCTCAAACTTGAAGCAGAGGAGCCTTGGCCTGCAGCGCATGGCACGGCAAAAGGTAAAAGGTCACTTCGCAGACCGCAGACCAGGCTTCCGGCTCGAGCTGGGAATGGCGGCTGCGACCGTCACTCGCAGAGTCGGAAGACGAAGATCGTAGGCTGACCATGACAGCATCCCTACTGTCACCCCTTCGTTTCAGAACACTACGATTTCTGGAATTGTACGGTTCAAGTGTTCCCATGAGTACACAATTCCATTCGGGCGAATCTGTGGAGCCCTCCGGCAGCCTGGCTGTGTCTGCGACATGGCTGTGTCTGCTGTTCAGCTCTGCAGCATGAGGTCGATAAATACCCTGTCAAACTGCGAGCAGCATTTCAGAAGTCATGTCATCCTTCCATCATGTCTATGGGTTCTAGCCCGTTGCTCTCACGAGAGCCTTTCGTGCAGCCCGCTTTTGCACGAATCTCTGCACGAGTTTGAGTGTTGTTTTTGGCTGCAATTAGGCTGCTGCTAAGCATGCCGGGCACTTCTGGATCAGTGCAGCTTCGCTTTGAGGGCCCCCTGCTGCCTCTGCACGTGTACAAGGACATGTCATCCAAGTTGACCCTGAGATGGGCGAGGGTAGAGTTAATGCTTCTCCGCGGACATGAACTTGGCGTTGCATGGTGATTCCGTGGCTTCGTTTGCGGTGCAAAAGCGGCGACCTCCGGGCTCCTTAGTCGTCCGTGTAGTCGAAGTCGTATTTCGCGGATTTCAGGCCCTTGGGCCTGCAGTCCAATGGACCACCCGCCGCCTCGGAAAGCTCCCGCACGCCCCGCGCGAGTTGTTGGAGAAATGCGGGATCCGACGACGCGTAGATCGCCTCGGGCACGGAGCTTTCCGCAGCTAGGAGGCACCTATCCTGGAGCGTACATTCCCGAGGTGCAAAGCGCACCTCCACAGAGGTGCCGAAGGCTGTCGACAAGCGCTTCAGGCGGAGGGATTGCAGATGGTCTTCGAAGAGTTCTGCCCAAGACACTTGCTGGCTGGTGATTGCATTTCCTAGGCTTTCTGATGCGCTTCGCCAGGCACTGCACCGACTCATTACTTCAACTGCTCTGACCAAAGCCAAAGTCTTGGAGCCTGTCCCTGTCGGATCCGCATACATGGCACAGAACTCTTCCACTCTGGACTCCCTGAAATCGTCCAGGCTCAGTTTGTTTGTGCAGCAAGTTGCGATAACGACCCCAAGCAGAATTGGTGGCTGCGGCGCACTTGCCGGCAATCTGGATGATCGTCGCAGCTGGACAGCCATCTCTATGGACCTATCAACGCCGATCCCACAAGGGTGCTTGGCAAGCAGCACGAATCTGTCCAAGTCGTGTCTGCAGGCCAGGCTGGCTAGGGCACTGGTGTCGAAGTCAGCGATGTCTGCTTCGATGCGAATCACTTTACCCTTCAATGCTGTTGGGAGTTGTTCCTCTGCACGCAACTCCTTTCTTGGGGACTCGCGCTCGACACAGATCACTGTTAACCCAAGCAGCGCGGCAGCTAGGACCGCACAGTTGGCATTGCCAGCTCCGATGTCAAGCACTCCACATCTCCTAGTGTCCCCACGGAAAAGACTCCAGACTTTGTGCAGGAGCGAATATTCTTGTGGGAGAAATTTGGCATTGTAGCGTTGCGGTCGAAGAAGGCAGGAACCCAGGAGACGCAAGCCTTCGGCAGGGCAAGGCCCATGAACAAGTGGCAGTTCTTGGTAACGGCATCCTGTGGCCCCAAACGCTTCCAGTAGCGCATCACGCGTCGCCCTGTCCGCTCTGTCATGTCCGACGTCTCCCAGATGCGCTTTCAGACATCCATCCAACGCCGCCAATGCTGCTTCCAAGGCTTCAACCTGTCTGGCAAATCACTGCTAAAGTAGCAGGGCGCCACGGCCTGGCGCGACATGTGACGGAGCCTGCTTCTGAAGCTTCTTCTGGCCCTTCCTCTCTTGCCGTGCGTCTCGCAAGACCTGCCAGCTGAGCTCAGGGATGTGGGTACGATTCATGCTACTGGCTGCTAGCCTGTTTCTTTTGCTGCCGCTTGGACGTCTCTTGCAGCGGCTTGCATGGCCTGAATGAAGCCAAACACTGAGGAGGCGCAACGAGGGCTGAAGCTCCCTGCTTGTTTATTATATTCTGCAGCTCAAACGAAACAGAATGATGAAGGAACATGCAAGCAGACCGCTTTGCAAGAACTTGAAACGCAGGCGACAGCCGCCGCGTGGATGGACAACCCTTGCCAAGCATGCGGTTCCGGGTGTGTCATCGGAGTCGCAAACGACACCCCCGCAGTCCCAAGGCCATCGTGTTTCGACAATTTTACTCTCCCAACAGAGGCCAGCTTGAAGGTTTTCATGAGACTGAGGTTGCCAATTCGCGCACAGCTCGCTTAGAGGCCGGCGTCAGCAGCATCATGGGCCCTGTGCTCATCACCCGACTCCCAAAAAAAGGGAATCCACTGAGTGTCCGCAATGTCCCGGGCCATCGTGGCATCATCGACCCGGTGTTGCTCAGACGACTCTCCAATGACCGCTCCTGGTCGAAGCCCAGCAAAGGGCAACGGCCCGTGTGTCTCAAGTGGTTATTGAAGCTGAATCAGTAGAGGACAGGACAGTATTAGAATTAGAATCGGCATTTTCCGGTGACCCTCCAGGGTTATTCATGCGCAGAAAAACAAGCTGTTTGCAAGCTGCCGCCCTTGTCCGAAATTATCAGCGCTGAGGCAAACATCACGTGAGTCATGCTTCCGATTTGATGTCGATACCCACTCAGACTGAGACACAACAATACTTGGTGTGGGCCGACAACTCCTCCCTCGCGACAAGCGAAGTCCTGGTCTGTCCAGGCGCTTTCGGCCTCCCTGAACTCAGCCGACGCTGCTGTACGTGCGAACGCTTGACAGTACGCTTGACGACAGAAAGTTTTAGGAGTCACAGGTCGGTTCACATCCTGGCTGTCATGCAACATGTTCAGGGAGGGCTTGGCTCTGCAACAGCCAGCCACTCAATTCGAACACTTCTTCCCTCGATGTCTTGAAAGCCAAGCGTTTGCTCCCCTCTTTTGTGTGCCAGCTTGGGTTCGGAGTGCCAGGCGGCAAGATGTAGGACGGACGGCTAGCGTAACACGAGTACTGCACAACGTCTCCCAACCCTCTTGGATCCTCTTGGCACCCGGTCGGTGCATACATGAAGACACAACACAGCTGACAGATGCGTCGGTAGCGAAGTTACTTCAACGGAAGCTGTAAGTCGGCGCCCCTGGCTGAGTGCGCGCCTCGTAAACGCAAGTTCGTGAGACCGATTGAACTCAGCGATTGGAGCTCACATCTCACCGCAGGCGCCGTGCAGGCCGGGAGACAAATGAATCAATGCATTTCCCCATGGCTCACATCACGTCCCACTCCACTTGTGACAAAAAAATTAGAGACACGCGTTTGTCAATTTTCCAAACATGTTTCAGGAGCCCCCGAGATCGCTCACCCATGTACCTGTAGATTGTGTGCAGGCTACGATCTCACGCCGGTTCCCAGCCAAGTGCTTAAGTTAAGTGTATCCTGGTACGGTAGTATGAAAATTTGAACTATAGTCTCTCAGGCTGTCACTGGTTCCAGATTGGCAAAAACCTCTTGTGTCCCATGGATCTCTTCCCACGCTCATGGGAATTACTGTTTACCGCTCCATGGTTCTTTTCTTACTTCTGGCATACTCTGCTAAGAAAATACCGACTCTTTCGCAGCTTTATTCGCAACTACCGGTTTCTGACAAGCCTCCGAATTATAGTCACATGCAGAATGTTTTTTCTCCATCCCTACGGTATCCCAAATTCGAGTAACTCATTCTTGCTCCACTCTTCTGTGAATGGATAGATAACGCTCCAAGTGCAACCATACTGTCAAGATGGAACACGATGGCGATGTCTTCTAAATAAATTCTGAACTTGTAGGGAGCATTCGCGTCAGATCACCCCAAAAGTAGTTCTGTTGTGAAAGTAGGGAGTACTGACGGGCAACAGACTGACGTCTGAGCCCTGCACGTGCGAAAAACAAAGTTTTCAGGAACCTGCTGCATTGATCAATCTTGTCGAGAAGTTTCAAGTTTTTCTAAATCAACACAACCACTTCAGGGCCGTCTTCTGCCGGCAATCCAGACACAGGGCATCAATGCTATGATATGACATGATATGTTTGTTCCTTGCGGCTCCTCCAAGTCCAGTAGACTTCCGTTTAGAAAGCTGAAATGTGCTTTTGATACCCACAGATCGACGACACCTAGTAACCTGTGTTTGATCAAGGTTGATATGCAGTGCAAGACATGCACGGGAGTTCACAGCACCAGTCTTGGCGATCCACACAATCATTCTCACATTGATGCCATTTGATTTCTAAGCTCCACACACCTCAGCTTCGACACTTGCTGCCTGCATGCGAGCTGGGTTCCCCTCTTCCCGGAATCTCGACAACATGTGGTTCACCAGAGGCATGCAATGAGCGGGACTTTTTGCAGCAACGCAGGTCCTTCACTCATGCGCTGCAAACAAAAACAAGCGCATGTGCACACTCGAAGCACATCTGGCTTTTCCACGTACACCCGGAGTTTCTTACAAGGCCGGGATCTGCGCAACAAGTTTGAGCTTTCAGCGGTCTATCCGAGCTCCGCTACGGCTTCACCGCCTTCTCCCCAGAAGTAATACACCTGGTCCGAATCTCAGGATACTTAGGACTGGGACTCATTTGCGGCAGGCTCCTATCACGGCAAGTGGCCTCATCGTTATCCCGTATGCCCGCATCCTGAAGAGTCTGACGTCCTGCATGAGTGTGTTAGGGCATGCTATGGCATACTGCCATTGAGCATTCGTTTCTTCCTGGAAGTGGCTGGCCATTGTGGAGAAGCACAATTCCACCTTGATGCTCCTCATCTCGGAGCATGTTCAGCCTTGCAAGTAGCATCAATCCCTCACCGTAGAACAAGCTCGGAAAAAAGAGAAACATACACCGCTAAGACACGGACTCTCTGCACAACTGGCGAGCAACCTTTCACAGGTGGCATCGCCACACAAGTTGCTACCGATCTCCAGTGATCTAGTCTGCTTTTGCCGAGAATGCAAAAGAGACAAGAGATGCTCTGCTGGAAGTGGAAGTTGAACTTTCACGAAGTGGGAAACGATGTGTCATCGTGAAGGCCCGTGCGTGAGCCCTTGTGTTGACATGTTGCACGATGTTGCACGGAGCCAGCTCCAGTTGAAGTGACCATTCGTTCCAGCTGCTGCAAATCTCGATGGGGAACAGACACAGCTTCCGCTTCAACTTAGGCGAGACAAGCTGACAAGGCAAGTCATTTAGAGAATGCTCCAACAAGGCAGAAGGAACGTGGTTTAGCTTCCAGCATGCTGAGCATCCTTCTGTCTGTGACCGATTAAAGCGAGCTTGGACGAAAGACAAGAACGCAGCCCGCGAGAAGAAGTAAGGAGTTAAAGTACAGCAGAAGTGACCAGAAGGCGTGAAGCTGCATCCTAGTTGTACAGTGATCGGCAGACTGGAGGCAGGATCAAATCCATGAAGGAACAAAACATGCAGCGAGGTCGTTCACCCGCAACACAAGTTCGAGGGGTCGACGGCAAAGATGCATCAGTCGGCATCGCAGCGAGAGGGGCGCACAAGCAAGGTGCCGCCAGTCGAGCTTTGGGACTGGAAAGCAAGGCTTTCCGGGGACGCCAAGGACGTGAACGGCAAACCTCGACGCACACAGCAACAGAACCGAGGATGTGGGCTCAGCAGAACAGTTCCATAAGGCCACTGAACACAAGTCAACACCACAACAAAAAACAACACAAGCAACCCTGCACCTCCATGACGGTCAGGTTGCTCGCAGTTACTAGCTCCTGTGGCACGTGTAGGCCAATCAAAGCATGAGCCTTCTGGTTGCGTAAATTGGCACGGCTGTCCTTGCCACCACCTCCCCCGATTTCTAAACAGCGTAGAACACATCGATTGTTTCTGCGTGCTTCCTCCTTGAGCGAAAGGAAGCGAGCAAAACACAAAGAAGTGCAGCCAGGCATCCCAGTCTTGCCTGGCCTGTCGTCGGAGTTCTGCCTCCGCCTGGCAGAGCATCACAGCACCGCACCGCACAGCATGGCAACAGTGCATCAAGAAAGCAAACTCCACCACTGCTACTGACAGTTCACCACACCAGAAGCTGAGGACCGCGCGTCAGCCTTTCTTTTGGCTGCCATTTTTTGCTCCTCTTCCATTTTGACTCGCCTCTCTTCCTGCAAAGCATACTACGTGCTCCGCCTCATCGAGACCCGTGCTAGATGCCGGACCTCTTCCTTCCTCCTGAGCGCTTCCTTGAAAGCAGTTTTAGCAGCAGCACACGCTGTAGGAAGTAGGCTGGACCTCTTCCACGCGAAGACGTTCTGCTTCTTCTGCCGCCTCTGCTGCCTGTGCCAAGCGCCCGCACGCAATGGTTGACCGAGACTTTTGCAACTGCTTCCTACTGATTTCCCACCTCTCGACGAGCGCGCTGGGCGCCGATTTCGACACCAGCTCGAATCAAGAACCTGGCAGAGAGGGAGACAGCTCCCGGCTCCCGGCTCCAGTCCGGGACCCGCCATGTTTTGGGCGTCTGGCAGGAGCTCCACCCTGGCGCCGGCACGCCGAGCAGCCGGTCCCGGCTCAGGGATTCCATTGTCCTCTCTGGAGAGGTGCCCCATAACGGAGCCGTGGAGGTCACAAATCGAAATCGTGGACCCACTCTTTGAAAGCCAATGGCAGCTGCGCAGCTTCGGACTGGAAGCTGCATTGAACAAATGATTCTTAGCATGGCGCCAAGGGTGTTCGATGCTTACATGGAGAGACGGAACGCGGGCGGCTGCGAACATGCAAGTTAATACCTTTGGGTGTGAATGATTGGCAGGAGTGCAGATAGCCGCAAATGGCATCACCCGTACGCTTCAGTCCTTGATGGTCTTCTTCTCGTCCATCTCTTCGCCCTCGTAGGCAAAGGTGATCGTGTCCTCTTCGGTACAAAGGCCGCGCGACGATGTTTCTCTCGGAGGGTCTCTTGCATGCGGGCGCGGGCCTCGGAGATGCTGAGCTTCTGCGCCATCGCCGCCTTTGAAATCTTCCAAGCATCATGTTATAGCAAGGTCCAACGACCTACGAACAATGAGTATACGCCACGGCCTTCAAATCCGACAGAGGTGCCGACTTGGCCTTAACATCTTGTGGGCTCATGAACAGGATGGCATCCCGGTGTCTGAGGAGTCTTGTTAAGGCATCAGCCATCTTGACAACATAACCACCTTCCACAATTGTCGGAAGGTGTCAGACATTGCATTGCTGTTGTATGGTACATGTTGAGCATGTCCCCATGCCAGCCTGCGGGAATGTCCTGGCTCCAGTGTTTTGCAGGATGCACGACGACGTGATGGAGGTAAGCAGTTTGAAGATCCATTCTAGGATGCAGTGCGGAACCTCTACGACATGCTTTGCTGACCCATCTCGCTCGAGCAGGAGAACCATGCATTCATTCGTTACGTACTTTGGGAGCCAAGTCCACAAGACGGTCCCTTGAGGGTCCTCACCGTATGTAGTTCGCACCGGCCTTGAAATTGCAAAAGAGGGAAGCTCGGGGCGGAACTTTGGTTTTGCAGTGACCTCATCTGCACGGCGTTGTGCGGGTCGCCGCCGATTGGCGGCAGCTCCTCCGTTGGCTCGGGCTCCGCCATTGTGGACGCCCCCCGAGCTGAGCTGAGCTGTCTTAAAAGGAACTTACTCTGCAAGCAAAGCTCAAGAAGAGCTGTCTAAGAAGATGATGTGACCGTTACTTCTTTTTCGCTGGGAGCCGTTCGTCTGAGGACTCATGATGCCGATTTCATGCTTTTGTCCATGTAGCGCAGGGCGCAAGGCACGTTCACACGTGCAAGCACACAAGCAGGGACCTTCTCCACTGCTTGAGATCCTCAAGTCAGTGAATCAGACACGATCCAACAAAAATGTGAGCAACCCTTAACTTTGCTCCGTACGCGAAGACGGCCGAGTCCACCAAGAAAAGGAACAGCCTGACCAGCACCGAGACCTAGGAATGCGATCACGCCCGCCCGGCAGGCACCAGGTCTCTCGAGCTTACGTCTCCGAGCTCAGTGCTCCAACGCTGCCGCACAGCCTCCGGCATCCCGGGCCATGAGGCAGATCAGGGACAGTGGCAGCGGAATGACAAAACAAACCGCACAGGCCTCCCATCTTGATCCCATCTAAGGATCTTCCCAGGGAGACGATGATGAACACTGCCGATGGCAAACCCGAGGCCCGTGCTACAGCGATATGGATGCATGTGCAATCATGTGTACATATCATCAGGCTCCAGGTACAAGTAGTACACCTCAACATGTTTCTTTTGTGTCCTAGAGCTATCGATTTGTGCTGGGATCATATATCAAGACCGGGGATGACCGAGGATGCAGCCGAACGTCAGACTCATCATGCGTGACTCTGAGTTCAGGCAATTTGCTGACAGCAGGAAGCAAGGATGAGTGGCTGTATCACTGCCTGCGACGAGACAGTTACAACTCGCTGACGGAACTGTTGATGGCAGTGCTCAAACAGTTTGTTGCAGGGCATGACCGAAGGACAGCTGCCTGCGTCACCAGGCTAACTGTGTTGCCACCGGGCTCTGTAGTGTTGGGACCACCTTGTCACATATCTTTGCAGCCTCGTGCGGACGTGAACGCATCTATCAGGCAGCATCAGCACTCGCATTAAGAAGCATGGCATGAAAACGAGCGGAGCAAGTGACTGTCCGATAATGCCGCACCACTCCGCCACACACTACTGACTGGCTCACTGAAGTCTCAAGCCTTCCTGCTCTGGCTTTCTTTCCGCATTTGGCCCTGAAGCCACACGGTTTCTGTACACAAATTCGTTAACAGGCCTTGACAGCATGGGTTGCCCATGGGCCCATGGACGTCTTGGCAGGGCTGACGCTTCAGCCCCCGTCATTAGCATGCATAGGATCAGATGCGAGCGGTGCACCCATCTGACACCTCATGATCTCCAGCAGACAAGGCAGCAGCCCGGAGCAAGTTCCTTTGGAAAGCTTGCTACTCCACGCACTTGCGGTCTCTTGACGCTGCAGCTCCCCAAGCAAACACGACCATGCCGGACTACGCTTTCTGGATCAACCTTGGCACACGGCATCTGGCTTCAGACAGAACTTGAGCTCAATCAGCTCTTTGCAGGGCTCTTGCAAAGTCCCAATGACGATAGCCATGACTGTCCAACCTCGTTGCATCCCGTGGGTGGTGTATCGACATGAGCAGCACGTAAGTGTTCTGAGCCACCGTCAGGTAACTTGACGTCCAGAAGCCCCTGTCAGAAGAATGTTGCCGCCCTGAAGATGCAGGAATGCTGCAAACTTGGGTGGGCTGTCTTGCACTTCGTTCTAGGTTGCCCCCTCCGAGGTTCCGGCACCAGGAGTGTTCCAGCCATCCTCGTTGGCGCTCAGCATGGGCCTCATGATGAGCAAGCACGTGCAAGGCCTGACGATCTAAGCCCACAGACTCTTCGGGAAACTGTTTTCTGTTCTGGCTTCTCTCAGCTTTCCGCGGTGTGGTAGCAGGTGGAGGTGGGAGACAGTACTCCATCTGGCCCTCCAGCACAGTCTCGTTCCACAGAACCAGATCGAACCTGGTTCTACACTAATTAATACAGAAAGGACTGTTGCGTGGGATGGAAACTGCGGCTTTGTACCTGTTCGGGATGTTCGTTTATACAGCTTCAGATGAAACTGCTGGTTGGTACCGTTCGGGATGTTCGTTTATATAGGTTCAGGGCTAGTTTGGGGACTTGTTCCCGGCCAACAGTCCTTTCTGCATGCTCTCGACAGGCGTGTGTGTGTGTATATATATTAGACTCCTCGTGTTGACGTCTGTGTTTTGAAACACGGCCTGTGCTTTAAAACATGCCTTCTTAACCAAAACCACAGAAACCAAACGAAGCAAAGCAAAAAAAAACAACACTTTCAACACTACTCCGGAGTCTGGACTAGTGAGGACATCTTTGGCTGTTTTGTTCGTTCGGTTCCGGTCCTCTGCTGTTCCGTCCGCCCCCACCATCGCTGCGAAAATTCCATGATGCCGCATTTGTTTTAAAGCACTTCATCTCTGTTTCATAGCACATCTGTTAATCCTGTTGTTGTGAAGCCGGGCTGCCCAACTCGACTCTTAATTCTTTGCCTACTTATCGCACCGACTAACGTAGTACAACTGCCGGAAGAGACTGTCATGTGCCCCGGACATGATGAAGGACAGCTGCCGGAAGAACCTCGTGCACTCTGGAAGCAGTTTCGAAAATCCACTCCAATAATGCTCCTTGGCCAGAGAAACCTTCAGCGCGCATGCGAGCGCATCGAGTAGTGAAGGACAACGATTTGAAACATGTCATGCTTCCCGCATATGATGAAGGACAACTACTGGGGGAACTTCATGCGCTTTGGAACCAGTTGCGAAGACTCAAAACTATCAACGTCACAGAAATATTCAAGGCACCTGTGCTTTTTAACATTTGACTCTTGAGTCTCACGGCCTGATCAATCCAGAAAAATGTGTTTTTTGGGGTCTTCGTGTTCAACATTTGAAAAACAAGTTTCCCCTTTAAATCCCAGCCAACGGTTACTCGCTATTTTTGCAGGAATAAAAAATCGTTAAGTTGGAACATTGGAAAATGGAGCATGGAAAGACAAAGCATGGGGGGTTTGCAACACTACTGAAATTTTGTTTCGGGAATGTGGAAGGTTGGAAATTGCAAACAATCAGAATTGGAAAGTAACGCCTGTGCCTAGTTCATAAACATACGTCCAAGACGCAGCCGGTCAAACTCAGAAGAGGCACCCCATTCAAGAGTAGGAAAACGGGAAACTGGCGGTTGGAAACGAAGCATATGCCATACTCCATATTTAAGGTTCTCTACAGTATCGAATAGCACTAAAGAAACTGTCAAACAGGAAAATAAACAGCTCAAAAATAGCAAGCTGGAAAACAAACTTAATCCCGAGCTGTTAACATCCAAGACTTCATCCGATTACAATTAAAGCCTAACCGCTAAACCCCAGGGCGTGAAGCTTCCTGTTAGTTAGGCTTCGCAACTGGCTGCTGTGGGGTGTAACAATGCAACCATTAACATCTAACATTTAGTTTGGATTCAACCTAACCGTGGATCTCTCCAATCCATGTCAAAAGCTTCTATTCTCCGTCCTTTTGGCTTCACAATTGCTGTGCGAATTGTGCTAGAGTATACTACACTATACCGTGCTATGCTATACTATACTACACTATGTTACACTATATTATACGAGGTTAGACTAGCCTACGCTATTCCATTCCACTCCTCTCCACTATATTTTTCTGTGTATATATATAAAATCATATGTGTATATATATACACACACCACAATATACTCTGCCGTACCATACTATACTATACTATACTATACTATACTATACTATACTATACTATATCTTGCTATACTGTGCTATGCTATAATTATACTAATCAATACTAGACTTCACCCACTATAGGATACTAGACTATACTATACTAGATTATAATTACTACTACTATTCTTGTTCCTGTTCCTAATCCTATTCCTACTCCCATTATTTTTACTACTACCAAAACCATGGGAGTTACGATTATCATTACTATACTACACTATACAAATGCTTGTGTGTCTGAACAAGTGCGCAGTGCAAGGGATGAAAACACGAAAAAAACCACATTCCTCCAGAAATAATGGTAGGAGTAGATGCAGATGCAGATGCAGATGCAG